CACAGCTTAGAGGAAGCATTGGGGCAACTGAAAAAAAATCTCCATCTGGTGAAACACTGCTACAGCAATCAGCTTACTGATTGCAATACTTCTATTTAAAGAAGTCAGTCTCTTCTCAGTTCGAGAATATCCCTGCTAGATCTGACCGTGGGTCTACCTCAGGGGTCCCCAACTTTTCTGTGCCTGAGGATACCTCTGCAATTCTGACACAGGATGGTAGGTCCCACAACAAAATGGCTGCTGCAGGAGGTGGATACCATCACAAACTGTGCAATGTTTCAGGCAGAAGTTCTGCTTAACAGGATGCCTTTAATCTGCACAGCCAATCAGAGCTCCAGTGGCCAATCCTGCTGGGCAAAAGCCTCACATGGCCCTACCCACTTCCTAAAATGCTTGGCAGGCATCAAGAAAGATGTCAGCGGGCACCATGGTGCCCACAAGTACTGCATGGAGACCCCTGGTCTATCTAGTTCAGCATCTTGTTTCTGACACAGGCCCACTAGATGCCTCAAAGATGGACATAAGCAGAGCCTGAAGGGATCACGTCTCCCCCTCATCTCCTCAGCAACTGACCAGTCACTGCTGAATTGGGGAGGTTCCATTGAGCTATCAAGGCTAACAACTCACTAAATGGCTTATCCTCCACAGTTCTGTCCAAAATTTCTTTTAAAGTAATCTAAGCCAGTAGCTATTTTCATACCTCATGGCAGTAAATTCCTAAAGTTAGTTATATGTTGTAGCAGTTAGTTTTTTTCATACATCAACCTGAGTGACTAAATTTTAATATTATGAGAAAAATTCTTAAATAATATGATGCTCTCCACCAAACTGACTGCCCTAGATGCTCACTTCCTACTCCATTAAGTTATTAATGTAGTAGTAGACCCAACAGAAACTCCTGGGGACCCCCACTTCTTACCTCTCTCTGTTGTGAGAACTATCCATTTACTCCTATCCTCTACTACTTGTTCTCTAATCAGTAACTGATCCAAATGGGCTCATCACCTTATTCCAGGATCACCACGTTTACTCACGTTTAGTCACCACAAAGACAAACTTGCCTTTGTCCTTCACCAAGTTTAATAAATTGTGACTTTGATATTGCTTTCTACCAATTTGCTAATTCCAGAAAGGAGTGAGGCTATTTACTGTAATTTATTGATTTCCTTCATGGATCACCTTTAAAAAAAAGAAAAGAAAGGGTGCTGCACGGGTCTTCCAACTCTCCAGCAAGAAGGAAGTGTTTAGGGATAAAATGCATTTTTCAATTAGACAACTGACAAGTTTCACATTTGAAGTTCTTTTTTAAAAATCTGGTGCCCCTGTCGTCTGGATTCAGTGATTTGTTAATTGTTAATTTGCCCTCTAACTTCACATTGTCATCCTTATTTAGCCTATTTTGTCAGATGCCATCCGCTGTCAGCTGGGGGGAAAAAATCATTCTGTGGTGGGTAACAATGATCCAACATTTTTTCCAGTGAGGAATGACAAAAAATTAGTTTAGCTTTTCTGTATTCTCGCTCTCATAACTAAGCAGAAACTACCAGTTTACTGAACTGATTTACTGGCTAGGCAGTAGGGGGGAAACTACACCCCACACCATTCTGGACAATACAAATAGCATTCAGGTGGGTAGCCATGTTGGTCTGAAGCACCAGAACAAACATTGAGTCCAGTGGCACCTTCAAGGCCAACGAAGTTTTGTTCAAGGGATCAGCTTTCATGTGCACACACACTTCCTCAGATATTACCAGTCCATACATAAAGGAAGAGGGTGAGCAGTAAATTAGCATACAGCATAATGAAGATGTTTAACAGATTCAAGGACCAACAAACAGGAATAACAAGCTTGGTTTATATGGTTTATATGGTTACCATTTATTTGGCTTTAATTCCAGGGGGAAAACACAATGAAGGAAATATATTTCTCAAAATTGGAGACTGATGGGCAGATGTATCCTTAATTGTGAAATGTTGAGAGTAATTAACTGAAACCCTGCCATTATGCTCTATCCATCTCCTCAAGCATGGAGGTGACCTTCCAGCATCTTCTTCTTTGAAGCGCGGCAATTGGACGTGTAAAGTTATTTCCCCTGATCCCAGACCAACAAAATACATTCCAATCTACTATTCCAAATTACAGTACATTCTACTATTCATTACGTTACATTCCAATCTGCTATTCTAATCTATTGTTCCAAATAAGAAATAAAATAAAATAAAATAAAATAAAGAGGATGTATAGGCCTTCTGGGGGATTGGTAAGAATACAAATGTAAGGGCTGAATGAGGTTAGCATATGTAGTGAGATAAGAAACCAATATCCCTGTTAAGTCCTGGGGATTCCATTGTTCTGAGTGTTGTAATAACTTGCAACTCAGCAATTCTCTTTCTAGTCTGCTCCTGAAGTTCCTTTGCGATAAAACAGCTGCTTTGAGGTCACCCATTGAATGTCCTGGAAGGTTAAAGTGTTCTCCTTCAGGTTTCTCAGTCTTATGATTCTTGATGTCAGATTTGTGTCCATTTGTCCTTTGGCACAAGGTTTGGCCCTATGTAGAGAACCGAAGGCATTGCTGGCATTTAATGGTATATATAATGTTAGAAGATGAGCATGTGAATAAGACTGAGATGGTGTAGTTGGGGTTGTTAGGTCCAGTGATTGTGCTATCTGGGTGTATGGGGCAGCAAAGTTAGCAACTGGGTTTATTGTAAGCTCTGGTCCCAGTGTCCATGTTCAAATTAGATGTTGTATTATTGTGGGTGAGGGCTTGTCTGTGCACAAGAAAGGTTTGCCTGCCAGTACTTGTGAAAGAGAACTGTCATTATCCAGGAGAGGTTGCAAGTTGTTGATGATGCTTTGAACTGTTTTGAGTTGAGAGCTGTATGTGACCACTAGTGGTGTTCTGTTATTGCCTCTTTTGGGCCTGTCTTTGTACAGGATTAACCCACTCAGCCCAGTCCAGGGGTGAAAGGGAATCCTGAATTTCAGCACATGAAACAAAAATCCACAAGACAGTCTGTACTCTCGCTGGTCTTCACGACATTTTGCCACCAGAATCTCTTCACAGGGGTCCCCACCTAGCCTAAGAGCAGAGATTCAACCTCTTAGCTGGCATCTGGGACTTAACACATCAGCAACTCTAACTCAGAGATGCACACAATTATTGTCTCACAGTGGTAGCTCTATGGTCAGCCCAGATACAAGATTTAGCCTTGGGAGTTCAATTACGGCATCAGAGACAATTACAAATATGAATGAACTTTATTCAGTGAAAAGCATACAAGAGACTAGCAAAAGATAAGAAACAATAGATACCTATAGCTTGTTCAGCTCTAGCTACACACTAGAAGTAAGTCATAGTTACCAAGCTTTCAGAGGTATCAGATGAAAACAGTCCAAGGTCTCACCAGGGAATCTTGAAAAGGAACCCCATGGTGCTGTGGGCAGCTAGTCAAGCTCGGCTGCCTAAGAGTCTCCCTCCATGTTAACAGCAAACAGTCAATCCAAAAGAACTCCTTGTTTTCCAGAGAAGAACTCCATTCTCTCCTCTAACTCCTACATTTCCCATATGGATCATTGCCGATATACCTCCCCCTCCGTCACCACCAGGCATAGCCATTTACCCAATAGTTAGAGAGTGGGAAGGTGTTCCCATCTCTGATTACCATGCGTTGTCAGGCAAGGTATGTTTTGATTGGCTAGGAGTTGGGCATCCAACTCCAGCCTCTGCTATTAACCATGTGTCATGTCAGGGAATGCTTTTGATGTGCTAATGTACTGGGCATAGCTGTCCCAGGCCTGGGAAGACGCCAGCAAGTCACCTTCTCTTGGCAAAGGTGTCAAAGTGTCTTGTATATGGAGATGTTGGCCTGGCCATCTGGCAAGCCATTTGTACGGGTGACAGAAATAACACAGTAGTGATACCAGGAGGCCATCTGGCCCCAGCCGGGAAGATTTTAGAAAAGGCTTTTTCTATACAGTCTTGCAACATGTTTTTCGCTGAGTACCATTCTGGCTTTGTGAATCTGTTTCAGGACTTCATCAGGTAGATACTTTAGTTCTAAAAAGGTACTTTAGTTCCAAAAAAGAATAACAGTTTGCTATACGTTATAAACGGACAAGCAATGCTGAGGAGCAACCACTAGAGGGATTTGAAAAGGATTACCAAGAAGCTAGGAAAGAAGTGAGCGGAACTATATCCTCAACACAGAAAGAGGGAAGAAAATCATTTGACGCTAATATGGTTGATTATACGTAGCCTTTCCCCAAAAGTACATCTCTAATAATATTTATATAGTTTTACATTAAAACAGTAAAATGTCAAAATTATTCTTTTCCCCTCTCAAAATTTACTTGCCAACTAACCAACATACTCCTGAACACGAAGGCTCTGTTTGCTTTCCTGAATACACTGGGCTTTGCGCATTTTGCCACATGCACACCCCTCCCTAAGCTTTGCAAAAGGAATAAGCAATTGCAGCGTTTCCCTAGCAAGAAGAATCCCAGAACACATACACCATCTCTTTCTTTTTAAAAAAAGAAGTGGATCAAGCAGAAACTTGTTTCCGGGTTGCCTGCTTTTTGCTCTTGTAAGCAAGTCGACCATGCTGCCTGCTTGAATTGGCTGATAACCCGAGCCAGCCCCCACCAGCACTGTGACAGCACCAGTAGCTACTGCAGTGCTGCTACTAAAACACTGAGAATTTCCTTTGTTCCTTTCCCTTGTCCTGCCTGTTCCTGCAACCAGCAGGCCTGCTCTTAACGGCAGCACTGATCTATTAATGAATGGCTGGACAGAGGCCCAATCCTCTCCCCCCCCCCCGCCGCCCCACCAACCCTACAATGGCCTTTAGGTAATACCTGCCATGTACTTAACACATTGAATTCCAAACTACAATTACAGTAAACCTGAATATGGCCCACATACGAAGCATAAATATGGCTTGCTCCTGTATTCCCCACTGTCTGCCACAACACTAAATGGTACAAGGAACCTTACCTTTTTTGCTCTTTGTGCTATGTCAGGGGTCTTTGTAAGAAGCTTTTCAATCAAGTATTCTCTAGTCTGCAAAAACAACGTTATAATTAGAGCCAGCCTCAAGAAAGCAGGGGGAAAACATACACCAAAATTAAGAGAATTCAGTAAGAATATCAGCTTTAAGTGCTTTACCTTGGCTTTCTGGAAGAACTTGCATTTTAAAAGTTCTGCTGCCGTGGGCCTGAAAGATCAGGAAGACGTTACAACAGAGCAGACAGAAAAAGACAAGTCCTCATTAATACAACTCAGGACACTGCGATTCTCCAGCATTTTTCACGTAGACCTTTCAAAGGCTGCTCGAATTGCTAGCTTCAGCATTTCTGCGTTTCAGCTGACATCTAGTGGCTAAAAATGTATTCCTTGTGGAAGCTAAATATCCAGAATGAGGGTTTATAAACCAGAATACTACAGTTTAGATTAGGGACAGGGGTTATGCGTGCAAACAGCAGCACACCAGAATATGTTACTTGGCACCGAGGGTCAGATCTCTATCCAAGCAACTGAGGCACTGGCAGCACTACTGCGGCCAGTGGTGCAGAAGGGAACAGACATGGCTTATGCCTGTCATTGCCTCCCAGACCTGCACAGCGACCAGCTGAGTCCAAGGCAAACCCCTCAAGATACTGGCAGTGCCACTGTGGCTTGGCTTCCTCCAGGTGTGACTGGCTGAGTACAACCCTCATCTCCTCCATCCAGTTTTGCTTGCTGGCATAGCAACATCTTCACAGGTTGATTTTTTTTATTTTTTTCAGCACTTTGGTCAGGAGGAGGAGGAGGAGGAGACTGGATTTAATACCCCACCCTTCACTACCGAAAGGAATCTCAGAGGAGCTTACAATCTCCTTTCCCTTCCCCTCCCCACAACACACACCCTGCAAGGTAGGTGGGTCTGAGAGAGCTCTTGAAAGAACAGCTCTGACAGAACTATGGCTTGCCCAAGGTCATCCAGCAGCTGCAAGTGGAGGAGTGGAGAATCAAACCTGGTTCTCCCATATTACAGTCTTCTGCCTATCCCTAATGTATACAGAGGATCAGAAACCGATGTGGTTATGCGCCGAGATAAATAAAAACTCTTTGAGTACAACCCAAATACACATAGTAGAATCTGTTAGATATGGAAAATGTTTTTTTTAATTAATCACTTGACCTATTTTGCAAATTGGCTTCCAACATTTTAAAATAAAAAGGTACATAGGACAGTTATTGGAGAAGAGCAAACACCTGTGTGTCTTCAACAGATTGCAAAAGGCAAAAGAATGGGGCATAAGATCCTCTGAAGGAACAAAGCGAGAATGGGAACTCTGGACCTGCCTGACAGAAAGCACCATCTGGGGAATGACGTACTGGCCAACTTGTTCCGATTCACCGCACTTAATCAGTTTTAAACTTGTAATTCTTAATACTTCTCAAAATAAGCCATGCATAAAAGCTACTCTGGTAGATAGGCAACTATTGCTGGAGAAGTTAAACATACTAGCTCACAATGGCCTATGGAGATCACCAACTTTAGCTGTTAATAAGGAAGTGGCAGCCCTATCAACATATGAAGCAGCCTTATTCTGAATCCAGCTGCTCGTCCATCTAAGTCACTACTGTCTACTCTCACTGGCAGTAGCTCTCCAGGTGTTTAGGCAAAGAAAGGTCTTTCCTAACTTCTTCTACCTAAACCCATTTTAAATGGAAATGCCAGCTGAACCTCAGAACTTCATGTTCTTTACCACTGAACTACCCTCAAACATCTTAAAGGACATATTTTGTAAAGGATTTCTTCATTCTCACCCTGCTTGCTTCCTTGTTCTTCTACTTATCAATTACACAGCAACCACATGAAAAATCAAGAGAGTAGGTGTGCATAGCTATGGGGTAGGGTATCAGTTTACAAACACTGAGAAACCAGTACAATACGTGTTAGAGAATCAAGCAGAAATGTACTCCTTCACTCCACGGAAAGGTCCCAAATGACTTTATAAAAATTAGCTTGTAGCTTAAGAATGGATTATACCAATCATTCGTAAAATTATGAATCATTTGTAAAATTCATATTTGTAAAATTACATAAAATTATGGATGATTCATAAAATTACGAGTGATTAGCCCATTTATTCCCAAAACATTCAGTGAGCAATACATCTGCCTCCCTTAAAATATCTGCTTCAATCCATTTTCATAGCACAGAAAAGTTGCTTTGTTTGAAAAACTGGAACCAGTTTCTGCTCAGACACATCCTGTTTTGTTAAAGCCACAACATTCCTCAACCATTAGCGCTTTCTGAAGCTACAAAAGGTATTCTGAACAACTTAGAAGGTGAGGAGCTCCTAGGTCCAGCAGCATTTACATATCTGAAGCGCTGGGATGTTTGAGGAGAGTAGCATTAAGCAGATCAAGGCAGCCCAGGGACTTTGACCACACCACCCAAGCAAAATGAGAATGGGGGCCATTTTGTGGCTAGGCATGACACAACAGGGAATGACATACTGGATGTTTAAATTGACAAATAAAAGAAAAAGTTCATCCAGCTTTCAAGGATGAGCTAGCACACAACTAACTGTCCATTATACTTTCAGACTATACCATACGTGGTAGGCTTGTAAGAACTGTAGGCTTTGATGGGTGTTTCCTGGAAATAACTGCTCATCTGCTTTAGTTCAGTCCAATGACAGAACAGTAGATTGCTCATACTCAGTATGCAGCTGGATGCAAATATGTTCTCAAACATTTCAAACTAAATAACAGTGTTTTTTTAATTTGCTGCCTCACTGTAGACCTTTGCGTAAAGTATGTGCCTTGGGGACTTAAGAATTAATGGAAAAGGAATTTGTTTATAATTATCTTGAAACAAATTACACAAAGGAAAGAGAAGCAGTCAAAGAGATTCACAAGGTTAATTTAATTGTATGCATTCATGTTTCAACTGTCAATTGTTAGCATGAAATCCTGCTCTCTCGGTTGTGGTGCCAACTACTTCATACTGACTGCAGAAAAAGCAACGTAACGATTCATGGTTTGCTTCATTAGTTCCACTGATGTTCCCAGCCCTCACCGTTCTGCTGCAGATTTCTGATTCCCCCCCCCCAATACTATTCCTGTGGGTACCCCATCTCTCCAAAGCAGCAGTTTGGGGTGCATTTGGGAGAGGGGAGAGGCAGGGAAGACACTTTCCATGGAAATAACTTCCCTTATTTCTAGATTCAACCCATCATAAAACATCAACTGAAAATTAAATCTGAACTAATGGAGGTAAGTCAACAGATGATGTCACACAATTCCCCCTTCTTCTGCAGAGCGGTCAGGGGCTGACAGAGAAACATGTAACAGGTCAACATGCCTCATTAGTTTAATGTTTGCTCAAAAATAATCATCTTAATGAAACCTCTTTTTAAAAAGCACACACCTTTTAGAAGGGTCTTTTTGAAGACATAATGAAATTAGTTTCCTAAAGGACTTGCCGTACTTCTTTGTCGTTTCTTTATCTTCCACACCCGTTTCCAATGTTGGAGGGTCATTTTGCAATGTCAGCATTAACACCTATATAGAAACCAAACAAGGGACATGAAAAAACAGTTTTAGTCAAATAATTCAAGTACTAATTCACCCCTTAATAAACATTTATATCATGAACAATTACTATAAATTTAGAACATACAGAATGGGGGGTGCAAAGTTAGGAAAGCGATATATGGATATTTAGAGACAAACATCACTTGGTGATTACGTATAACGATTTGTGAGGTCAGATATTAAGGGAAATCCACAGTGAGCCACAGAATGCTAGTATACCACAAGTATGAGCCAGTTTGGTGTAGTGGTTAAGTGTGTAGACTCTAATCTGGGAGAACCGGGTTTGATTCCCCACTCCTCCACTTGCAGCTGCTGGATGACCTTGGGCAAGCCGTAGTTCTGTCAGAGCTGTTCTTGAAACAGCAGTTTCTGTCAGAGCTCTCTCAGCCCCACCTACCTCACAGGGTGTCTGTTGTGGGGAGGGGAAGGGAAAGGCGTTTGTAAGCCGCTCTGAGACGCCGAGTGAAGGGGAGGGTATAAATCCAATCTCTTCTTCTTCTTCTTTGTGCAGGAGAATTCACTGCTGGATAATGCACCACCCCCAAAAATGCATTCTTTGTCAGACCCAACCCTTGACTACTGCAGACAACCATGATTACTGCTCACGACAGTTTGCTGTTATGTAGGGTTCTGAATCAGACTCTAAACCCTGACATAAGCGTTAACACAGGCCAGCAGGGGGTAAAAAAGTCACCATGGAAAAGGAGGAAGTGGGCAGGGCAAAGAGAACATGCAGTCTCACAGGCCAGAGTGAATCTGACCAGCCCCAGGTCAGTCCCATGTTTACATGTCTTAAAGGTAAAGGTAAAGGTTCCCTTGCTCGAAAGCCAGTCGAATCCGACTCTAGGGTTGCGGTGCTCATCTCCGTTTCAAAGCCGAAGAGCCAGCGCTGTCCAAAGACGTTTCCGTGGTCATGTGGCCGGCATGACTAAACACCAAGGCGCACGGAACGCTGTTACCTTCCCACCGAAGTGGTACCTATTTATCTACTTGCAATTTCTTGCTTTCGAACTGCTAGGTTGGCAGGAGCTGGAACTAGAGACAGGAGCTCACCCTGTCTTGCGGCACCCGGGTCTTGAACTGCTGAACTACTGACCTTCCACAGCCTGCAGTTCAGTGTCTTAACCACTTGAGCCACCGCAGCTCCCTCTTAGCAGACTGCTATTAATATTATCAATTAACCAGGACCTACTATACATCTTCATTACATTTTCAGCAATATTTTTAATTCTGCCATTCTTGCTACGAAATGAGGAATAGGGAGCGACTTGACATACCCTTTTGAAAAATGAAGCATTAATATAAGAGTTGGAAGTCTAAAGACAGACATCCGGGGGGGGGGGGGATGACAGGTCAGGCACCTGAGTGTTTCAGGCTGTGGTCTCAGAACTCAAATTACTGTATTCCAGCTGAGTGCTGTGATTATTCTCAGTTATCCCAGGCTGGATCTCAAGAATCCATAACCATTTTCCCCAGTCCTGTGAAACACATCAGAGAATGTAGCACCTGTTTCAACTTTTCTCCTTTCTTTAAAGAATTGGTCCAAGAGAATATAAGCAAAAGCAGTAGAATGTATAAAATAAATATCTATAGGTATCTAGGCTTATTGCAGTACATAAATGTAGAACTTAGCATCTTTACAGTAAGTGGTTAACATTATAAAATTACTATAATTTATAACCACCAATTATTTTTCATTTTATGCTTCACAGGACTCTGCTCTCATCCGTCTTTCAAGTAATAACAAAGGCGGCAAAAATGTGTTGGTAGTCCAGTTTATCTTTCAGTTCAGTAGAGAAATCCTCCTCGCGTGGATTTAAAAAATGTGTTCCAATTAACTATTCAGCTGTACACTGAGAATAGAATTTCCGGTTTTAACTCTTCTACAATTCAGAAGCTCAGATGACTCAACAGTGCAAAGCCTCAAAAAAAAACAAACACCCCGCAACTCCAAAACACCTATTTTCTAAACATGACTTGCATTTCTGCTTACAAATGGAAATCCAGGATAACATCCAAAGAAAGCTGTATATTTCTGAAATTGGTAACTTCCAAAATCATGCAACTCCCCCGCCAGATATTCATCTGCCCCCTTCCATCACTGTCTTCCACCAGCAAATGAAGCCTTGTTTGTTTCCTTTGCCATTGCCTCAGTGACCTCTACTTCCTGCCCTATGTTTCAGTTGCTAGGTTTTTTTAATATTTGGTTTACCTGATCTTATGATTTTTTTAAAAAACATTTTGCTTTTAGTTGTTAACTGCCTTGATTCCCCTGTTTGGACATAAAGGTGGGATATAAATTTTGTACAGGGGTCATTTGGGGGGGGGACGCGGGGGGACGCCATCCCCCCGGGTGAAGTGCGGGAGGGCGGGGCCTGGAGCTCCCTGCTGGTGCCCACTGGAGGTCGCCGCCGACTGTGGGGAGGACACACTTCCGGTGATGTCAGGGGGTGTGGCATATGCTAATGAGTTATGCTAATGAGTCCCCCTAGCTCTTTTTCTACGAAATGACCCCTGATTTTGTAAATAAACAAATACACCTGCATCCACACAAGATACCCTATAAACGACTGGCTGCATGTTTTAAAAGGCAACTGAGCCCAGGGTCTCCACGGGCTTCTCCGCTTCAGCTCCTTCTCCTTGTCCCTCCAACTGCAGCCTGGACCATGGCCACCTCCTCGCATCCTTTTAGCCCCAGCTTGTACCAGGGTGTCAAAGTAAAACACAAGAGAACCCAGCTCCACTCCTTCTAGCACTGCTCCACTGCTTCTAGCCCCTAAGGTCAGTCCTGGCTCTGTGCAAAATGCTTGTACACAGTGTATTAGCCTCTCCCTGCATTAACAGTCTACCCCATGGATTGAGGGGGAAATCATAAGAGCAGAGCAATTGCCATATAATCAACAACTCCAAGGTTGCCTCCAGAAGGAAATCAAGGGAGAAAGGGGGTGATAAGAGCATCCTCATCAAACCAACAGTGTAGGAAGCTACTCGGCAGGTATAGTCTAAAAGCTGTTTTTAATCTGAGCAAACAGATCCAAAGAACACATGGGCTACTACGGAGACATCGTTCTCTGAAAACGGTGCCAGGCTTTCAGACTCCCACTAGGTCCAAAGTCAAAATACACACCAGGCTGGCACACCAGTAGGCCTGGCAGTCACACATGTCCCAGATGACAATAAACTAACAAAGCAGTACAGCCCAGAAACACACAGCTCATCCGTCACATTCTGGGTTTTTAACCCAGAAAGGTTGGTGTTTTACTTGGTAAATGGACAAGATGTGTCGCAAAAAGATTCAACACTGGTGTACTTTGTTTTTGCCACCTAGTTTCCAAAAAGAAGCCCATGTTCTTCAACTTGGGGGGGGGGGAGTCTCCAGTTCGTTAGAAATCCCTATGCCCTTATTTTTCTCATGGTTTTTACTAGGGGTGTACACCAAAAACAAAAAAATTAGGATTTTTTGGATATATTGAACCCAATATAAAAAACCCCCAAATTCCAGTAATAGTATGGTATTTGGATTTGGATTTTTTTGAAATCTCAATATTTTTTTTTGGTTCCATCATACCCTATGGGACCATTGTAGTCAATGGGGAATCTATCTAAGGATATCCAGGGGATTGGGGGGCTATTTTTGAGATAGAGAACATAGCTTCTGGTGCCTCTCCTCAAAAGACCCCCTCCCCTAGTTTTAGAAAGATTGAACTAGGGGGTCCAATTCTATGGGCCCCCAAAGAAAGTGCCCCTTCCTCCATTGTTTCCAATGGTGGGGGCCAGGGGGAAGCAAAAAAAAAAGGACTGATGCCAAACCAGTGTGTCTGTGCAGCAGAAACTGAAGTGGAGGGAAGATCCAAGCCCCGCAGAACTGGTACATGTACAGAGTGCCTGGCAGCCAAAAATGCCCTCCCCTCCAATATCTGGCTGAAGGAATAGCTGATAAATACTGATAAGGTATTTTCTAGCTATCTTTCGGCTCTTATACAGCCAAATGCACACCCCTAGCTCCCTTGTCATGCAGTTTATCCTAAATTTCAACTATGTTCAAAATTACCTTTTTTAAAGAAAGGCAGACATATAGTCCTATATTGTTTGAAGACCAACAGAGAAGACCTTTTACGTAACATTAGATTATTTGCTTATGTTCTAAATGTAATTACTTTCATTGGAGGATACTTGTGGTAAGGTGCGGCTCCTGTTGCCAGTTCAATGGCTGTTATTCCAAAGCTCCAAATATCGGCCTTGAAGTCATAGCCTCTCACCTATTCCACAGAAAGCAGGAGGGGAAAGAGAGTTAAATTAGCACTAATGCGTTTAACTCAATGTAAAATACAAAACACATAAATCAAGTCTCCATGTACCTGTTCCATGACTTCAGGTGCCATCCAACACGGCGTACCGACAAACGTCTTCCTTACTTTGTTACGGGTAACATCCCCACCTGTAGCTAAAAATGCACTAACACCAAAATCTAAGAACCAGAGGAGACACGAGAGAAACAGAATCCACTTTTAGCATTTGATTAGTGTACTGAGGTAAATATGCTACTTTTAACTCAGACACTACATAAAAATATGACATTTCTATTTAAGTAAAGCTGAGAATGTAACATTCAATAGGTGTCACACTGCAGTTTATAGAAGAGTTACAAGCCATAAGAAGCTGCTCCTCCTCATGAATCATGCTTTTAGGAGAAAGCAATATTTGCTCTCATCTATTAAAAACATAAATATACTCAAAGACACTGAATAGGAGGCCTTTTTTTCTTTTCAGACTGGCATCACAAGCTGGCATTTCCATGCACTTCATAGAGAACTTAAAGAATACTGGTTTTTTAGATATGCATTCAAGAAAGTATGTGCAACAAAGGGAACAATTTTTTCACATTTATTTTGCTTCAAGTTACTTTAAGTTTGTAAGAGACTGCTACCTGTTGTACAAAGGTTATGGTGAAAGTAATTAAAATACTGGGAGGGCAGTGTGCGCCAATGAAGTGTCAATTGAAGGGAAGCATACAAATTTCCCCATAGATTAATTCATATCTCACTACTGTAATGGCATGTAAAAAGCTTGTGGGTATTTCTGGTAGCTGATATTTACTTGTGCGCCCAAAAAGATCCAGGCAAAACTAAGCACAGATTCACAAATACTTGTTAATCACAAGTTGTTATGCAGACATGTGAAAACTGTCTGAGAGCAATCCCAGGCAGAAACTTTCAGGTCAACTTTGCATACTTCAGACAAAGCCTTTGCCATGGAGCCAGTTCACACACGCAGCTCCTGATTTACCCAGAGATTTACGTACAGGCATGTGTGAAATCAGCACTAAATCTACAGGCATGATTGTTTACTTTCCTATTTGGGATTTGATGCCATGATTAGAGTTTTAAAGGTTGAGGGGTTTGTTCAAGTGTATGCATGGGAACAATACTAAAAAGAATCTGAAAAATCTCCCCTGACGAAGCTGCACGCAAAAGGCGTAGGGGTTGTATAATAATAAAAGATTTTTTCTCCTTTGCACCATTTGGTCTTTTTTCTTCTGGATCTAGGGTTGCCAACTTGCAGATGGGGCCTGGAGATCTCCTGATATTACAACTGATCTCCAACAACAGTGACCACTATCCATGGAGAAAAGGGCAGCTTTGGAGAGCAGCATTATACTCTGCTACTGTTCCTCCTCTCCACAAACCCTGCCTTCCCCAAAATTCCACCCCCCAAAAAAAGTTCCCAATCCAGAGTTGGCAACCCTAGTTGGATCCCAAGGCTTCCTCCCGAGCAGGAAGGACAAGGTTCACCAATTCCTTACTTCCACTGCAGACCCCCAATGTTACATGTGCTGCTCTTGAGGACACACTGACACCCCCTCTCCCCCCAGCAGCATTTCAAGCTGCAATGGAAAGGAGAACGTGTGCAAAAGAACTCCTTTTCCTTAGGATCCAACCTTATACACACATGCACAACATTTACAGTTTAGCAGATAAAAGCCTTGACCATTTCTGTGGGTTTCGAAATTTCGAAACATTTCACAACTCTCTATTGCAAACTGTGCATTAATTGGAGCTGTGCATGTCAATACACACTTTGCTGTTAAAGCTTAAGACAAGGAAGTAATAAAGCTGTCCATCACAACAAGCCCTTCATTCTCCCACAAGAGCTGCCCTGAGCCAGTAACTGTTAAATAGTATTCAGAAGCAATTACTTTTTAATGAATAGAGCACAGCAGATAAATTCACAGGCTTTTATTTTGTTAAGGTAACAAGAAAGCAGGCATACTTCACCTCAGTTTCTCTCCTGCTAGGGGGGGGGGGGGAGAACCCTCATAAAGGCAAAAAATTTTAACTGTCAACAGATCAGTAAACACTGGCTCCAGTGACACAGCCATGATTTTAAGTGATTAAAACAGACCAAACCAAAGTACTTGAGAATGTACTGAACCAAGATAGTTTCACTCTAGTCTGTTGGTGGGTCTACTCTGAAGGAACTCTTCCATCTTACAACCATGCATCTATGACTGTTTCCAGCCTTCCCTGGCCTACAGTTTTTTCATTCTGGCTACTAAGCCAGAAGAGCAGTCAGGGGATTCAGTGCGAAACCCAAGACAGGTCTGCTCTTGGGTACAATTCTCACCCAAATTTTAAGGACATGTAACATTGATATGATAATGCAAACACATTTTCTAAACTACATGTCCCAAAGTGTCACATAAGGCAACTGTCAAGAGAGAAGCCATCTTAGAGGAAAATTCCAGCTAAAACTCTCATCTTCTGACATTCTGAGTGCTTGCAGGTGTCAGCTAACTCCCCCTCAGACTGACAGTTACTTGCCAAGGTCATCTTGAGAGCCTGTTAATTAGTTCACACAGTTCAACTGTGAATGTGGTATTGGAGAGGGGGACTTGCTTTCACCCCAGAAAGCCCTGTGATTGGTTGGGAAGTCAAGAGATAATGGCTGGCATTATCTGTATTATAGACCACTAGGGGAAAAGGCCCGCTCTGGAAAGAAAGACAACGAGCGCTAGAAAGAGGCAGTGGGAGAGCGGGAAGGAAGGACAGAGAGAGAAGGAAGAAAGGTCAGAGGGAAAGCAAGGAGATGGGGGGGTGGCTCTCCACGATCAAGGCCAGCCTCCCCGGGGCCCCCAATGTCTGCCCCAGTGGCTGCAGCCGGCAGTAGCAGCAGTTACCGGGAGCAGGGAGAGCGGCAAAGGATGGGTGGCGAAGCGTCCCTGGAGAGTTGGTCCACAGGCAGGAATGGAGGCATTTGGGTGGTGTGAGCAGGCAGGCATCCGGGCGTTGTGTGAGGACGCAGGCAACCGAGACCATGTTCGGAGCGGTGGGGGCATGATCGTAGGTGGCGGGTGCAGGAGGCGAAGACGGTCTTGCGTGGTGGCGAAGAAGATTCCGCAGGCCACCCCTCCCTTGAGAAGGCGTGAGGGGGGAGAGAGGCTGGCGACGCATGGTGCAGTGGGGAAGGAGAGGCCGGACGGCTCCTGGCCCTCGCCGGAGTTGTAGACTCCAGGGTGGGGCGCGCCGGGGATGGACATGGGGCACAGTAGGTGGCCGTCCCAGAGGCCTCCCTGTGTTTTTGGAGTGGCGGCGAGTCAGGGAGTGCTGGCGTGGCCTGGGGCCCGAGGAAGGTGGCGTCACCATGATTCGGTGTTGGGCCTGCAGGGCACACTAGCCACCGCCTTCCGTTCACCGTGGCTCACTGGCTCCCACCCACCGTCGTACCTGTTGGTGGAGCGCAGGCGAGTGAAGGAGTCCTTCTCGGGCCTGTGAGCCGAGCCACCCTCCACCGGCGCCATGATTCCCTCTCGGTGCTGCAGGCTGAGGAAGGCCACATGGTCGGCTGGGCCTGTGGAGGCCTTCCCCTGGCTTACCCTGCAGATGGTCCCATCCTGTCCAAGGACCAGAGCAGAGTGAGCCGAAGACGCTGGCCGGGGCTGACGTGGGCAGGACTCCACAAAGCAGCCAGCCAACCCAGACAGTATCTTCTGACTGGCAGTTCATGCGGCCAACCTATTTTGGCGCACATCGAACGTTGGGAGACGAAAACACAATTATATATAAGGAGAGAAAAGAAGGAGGGAGGGAGGGAGAGAGAGAGAGAGAGAGAGGTACAGAGCATTCCCTTTTTATCCCCTCTCCTCCACCCACCCCCTGGTTGCACTCTTTGTAAGCTCTGGAACATCATGCTTCAGCTGTCACAAGCAGCAGTGCCACCGTTAGCATAAGTAGTGCAGTCAGTTAGTCCTTTGTTATCTTATGTGCACCACGACTCCACTGAACTATATGCCTTACTTTTAATAACTTTTCTTGAATTTCTTCAACAAAGGTGTGACGGACTGTCAAGGGTTGCCACTCTTGCATTGTCTGAGAACCTTTGAGCGACAGACTGTTCAAACGGAATTTTGAGCAATTAAGAAATGACAGTTGGGAACTGACAGTTGAAGAAGAGACAGTTTAGTAGTGACTGAGGACTGGGAAGAAGGCAAAAAGGGACAGAGCTTCTAGTGTAGAGAAGTAATCCCTCCCCAGTGAAAATGGACATAGCTCTTAAGAAAGGAATGAGCCTTTGGTCTGTGTATAGAGAAGGATTTGGGGCATTTGGTTGTGTGAACCTGCCTTCAAAACCTTAAGAGTCAGTGAAACTCAGGAACTTATACTTTAATGATAAGCAGACACTGTGAAGAATGCCTCTCTCCTCAAAGTTTCAAAGACCTTGTGCAAAAGCAGAAACACCTACTTATTGGCAACAAACTACCTTGAATTTAATGTAATTACAAAGCTATCTGAGTTATTATAATTTCACCTCATACACCCGACAGCTGATTCCACCCGATCTTTTCTCCTGTAAGTCAGCCTTGACAACAACCCATTTAGGACTAAAGTGAAGCATCTATCCCATCTACATTTAGAAACACCAACTCACCTGGGAGAAGGCTAAAACAGAAAGCCCCTCCAGACATGCAAGATTTCCATATGCCAAAGGCTTTTTATGCAAGTGAGCAAATGTGAAAGCCCCCACCTGAAAGTTTGAAGCAGCACAGCCACAAGAAATATACCCCTGAAATCTCTCTCACAAGCAAACTCAAAAGCCTGTTTGGAAACAGCTCTCTTATGAGTACACATGAAGCTCCTTTTTACTGAGTCAGACCATTTGTCTATAAATGTCAGTATTGTCTATTCTGACAGGCAGCACCTCTTCGTGAAGTCTTTCGTGTCATCTACCACCAGATCCTTTTAATGGGAGATGCTGGAGATTGAACTGGTGACCTTCTGCATGCAAAGTGGGTGCTCTACCACTCATCCATGGCCCTACCATGCTTGCCTCTGGCTCCATGTATAGGAAGATGGACAAAGGATTGTTTCTGCAACCACATTGTGCTTTGCAGGTGTCTGATGGAATGCCTCACTGCAGTGTCAGAAGCAAGAGCCACCCCTGCCCCAAACTGGTCATGGCAACCATACCTTTTGGCAAGCTACTGACTTTGTGGAGCCCTGTGCAAGAAATGCAAGGAACTATTAACATTACACCGTGTAATATTAGCCACTATAGCGAACAAGTGTTTTTTTTAAAAAAAATCTGTCTACACAGTGTACACAAACATGCTGCTTGCCATTCAAAGAGTACACCTGTAAAAATACTTGTGCCCAAGGATATACCACATTCACAAAGACACAGGCATGCCTTGCTTTTAGCCTAGATTTAGCCAAATGATTTCGTATCAAGAAGTAGCCTTCGAGCAGAACTGAAACTGGAGAGTGCATGAATTCCAAGCATACGATAGAAGAAAAACACAACCCCCTAGAAGATAAAAAGCAGCATCGTCAAGAGATTCTTTGTGAGCCCTTGATCAAAAAGAACACAACTCACTTTCACTGGGTGCAGAGAATCTTTATCAGTTTCTGCTTCTTTTCAGATTCTACTAATGAAACGGCTCTGCTTTAACCACAATCAAGAGCATGGATTCTCCAAACGAATTCTAGCAGTTTTTTTAAAAAAAAAACAGTTGCTCTCAGCTTTGCCAGAGCAAACCTCTCCGTTTATCTCTAACAATTTTTTTTTTGCTAAAAGAGCAAACATAAGCATTAAGAAATTAGGACTTAATCGGGAAAACACACACACCATTTCTACCCTGGTCATAAACACAATTTTCATTATCAGAACTACAGCTAACCCTAAGACCCTATGCCACCACATGTTCAACGCAGCTTAGTTTTAAGCTTCTATTCAAGCTCCGAGTCCCTAACAATTTATTTCATTGTACAGGGTTGGATCCAAAGCATCACATAGAGACAAGCTATCAGAATGGGACTTTCCTGCGCTCTCCACCCCTTCAGCAGCAGCCCACTGAGACTGCACCTGCCAAATTCTGACCCCATGGAATAAGGGATCCTTAGGAACGGTAAGGGGGGCAAAGTGGGGAATCTGCAGTAGAAGGGAGGAACTGGCAAAAACCACCCACCCTAGTACACAAGAGCTGTTCTACTGCTAGACGTCTTGGGATCGAACCCCCAGAATTCTGAAAGCTTCTACACTTTCTGCGGCAACAGTGGACTCATGGAATTTTTAAAATGGTGTTTATCATGGGGGTGTAAAAAGATACCTCAAATATTAGGTAGGCTTTGTTTTACATTTATTGTAAACCTTAGTCATCTGCAGTTTAATTCAGTCAAATCTGCAGTAAAAGGAGAACACACTGTTCTTTATGCAGTTCCATCAAAGTTGCTTTTTGTCACATGAGTTCCTTGTCACTACACAGGGGCAGAAACTGGTCCTCAGGAAAAGTTTCAGTGCTACAAAAATACTTTATTTTCTTTAATACATATATCAACGTTTCAAGACGTTTATACCATAAAAAGTAACAGTGAGGCAACACATGATTCATGCTCAGATCAGAGACAGGATGCAGGATTTTATCCTGGAGCAGAGGTCAGTGACTTGTCAAACTCTCCACCAACCATCACAGCAAAACCATTGAACACAAGTACATTTTTAGCCATGTCCATGGTTTTAAACAGGTTGTGGCATTCTGGTTCTCTTAGAGCACCTGGTACAGAATTTGGTTTTATTTGCAAGTATACATATCTTTCCTTACTGACGAACAGAATTAAGTCACGAGATGGAATAGCAGCTACGCAGAGTTAACGTTATAGAAACTTTTGACAATGAAGCCACTTTCATTAGTTATAAAAAAGAACTAAAAAGGAGAACATTATTGTTATCCCCATGTTGCAAAAGAGGGTGAGGGAATGGTTTGTCTAAGTCTCCTTAATGAGTTCAGGACAAGGGAGATTTAATGGAGGACTTACGAGCTCATATTTTTAGCCACTACAACGCAAAGGGTTGAATGCCACAGATCAGTTCTGCTTGCACAACAGCTCTTGAACAAGCAAAAGCACTGCAACTACCCCTAGTGCTAGGTCAATTTAACCATGTCCTGTTTTGCATTTCTGCTTAAACATGACGTAGTGCAAAGTATATTTCAGCACCTCCACCCCATTATGACCTTCTTCAATCAAGACATATCAATAGCAGACTCTAATGACAGGATCAAATAGTCTTTTGATTGTTTATTACAGCAACACCGATGGGAAATGAAAAATCAGTGCTTGAACTTACAGTACCTCTTGTGAAAATGGAATTGTATTACATGAAACACTTCTGCTATCACATGGTGGGATCCAGCTCAAGAGATTGATGCCGTGCAAGATTAAGTGACACGTATTTCTGAAATGTTTTTCTGAGTACTCTGAACGCATCATCAATGAACATTCTTGCATTTTTAAACAGCCTTTTAGAACGTTAAAATTCAACTGGATCTCAACACACCTCAGATTCTCTCCCACACCCAGCAGACACAAACTTCAATGCTCTAATTTTTATTACCTGCTATTTGTACTGAGCCATCTTCACCCAAAAGAATATTACCAGCTTTTAAATCCCTGCAAAAATGAACAAATAGGAAGCATGTAAATTCAGGTAGCGAAAGACACTGTCACTCTCAATGGAATTTTCTTTACTGAGAAAAGTGCCACAGGATAAATTAAATGCCACTCCACGCATGCCGATTACATGATCATCTCATTTTTAAAAAGGACAAATTGCCACTTTAAAAAGAAATGGGAGGGGGAACTGGCATTCTTCCCCTCTCAGAAAGCTTATCATTTAGACAAGAGACTGTCTCTCCAAGACTGCAGACCTGAGCCCTCAGCTGCATCATATCCCATGTGGAACGCCAGCTCTTTCCATGCTGCACCCAGCCAATCAGAGCAAGCCAAAAGTTGAAGCAGGCCCAGGTCATTCCCCATTTTGAGATAACATAAGGAAACCTAAGTGACCACCAAGAGAAGAAACTTCAATCTTTCTGAGCATTGCCCTACCCAACAACAAAACATTAAGTTTTGGGGAATTACCAAAAAAAAAAGGCGCTGAAATGTAAAAGAAATTGGGCTGTGACTGTTTCCACATGTTCATACCTGTGAATTTGCCCGTTCCTGTGTAGATAATCTAAGCCTTCCAAAACCTCTTTAAGAATTGTTGCTATTATTGATTCTTCAAGGACGCCATTCTTGTGTTCTCCTCTGTTGACAATGTACTTTATTATATCCAGCATTGATCCTAGGAATTTAAGATCCAAGGTTACAGGAGAGAAAAGAGATTCTCCTCCAGAATCATCTTGCAAATCTTTGGGCCTAACTCAGAAATAAGGAACTTTTCTTGTTTTCAATCTATGCACACATTGACAGAGACCTGCAAAAATCCGGATTGTTCCCAAAGTTCTCCCAAAGACATCTTCAGCATGAAAGACTCATTGATTTCTGAAACACCACCGCCTTGGTTACCCAAATGGCTGGCTCACTTCCAGGGAAGGAAACAAATGATGCGGAAGCAGCAGCCAGAGAATTTGGAACCATGCACGATGGATGTTGCAACACTACACCACCTGATTTGGCTACATTACAATACCACAAAGCCTGTAGTGGCTAGAGGGGGGGGGGGACTCTGAGGCAACTGCCCACTGGACTGAAGAATGTCCAGTCCCCCATTCTGGCCTGTCCTATAGATTCCTTAAATCCCAACCACCCACAATCAAATAAAAAAGGGGGACACAAGATTTGAATTAAAGGACTGGTAGCGTGTAAGCTATGTGCTTCTGAAAGCTCTCTTATGTGGGTATCTGTTAAACCAAGGCTGTATGATTTGTGAGGTAAATAGAAATTGCTTTTTCCTATATATTTGGTTAGACAGACAAAACACAGGTAAAGATGAACAACAAAGGTTTATTTAACACAAAATAAAGTATTATATAGGGTAAATGTGGATGGCTTCAACATATAAAGTAAAACTGGCTCTTGGTTTCACCCCCAAAGGTCACAAACTTTTCCCCAATTAGAGTAACTACATTGTAGTCGAGCCTCAGGTTAAAAAATAAACCCTGAAGAGAGATTTGATTCACTTTTCTCCACAGGTTACCTCAGCAGTTCCTGTCCACAGAACCCATACACACAAGTTAGGCCCTTAACAGAATGCTTATTTGCCTCACTGAAACAAATTTTATTCTATAAGCCGACTCCAAGTCCTAACTAAAAGCCAAAAAAAAAGCCTGGCTAAGTTTTTCTTCAACCTTCTTAAGCAATGGCTGGCTCACCCCCCCCCCCCCCCCCCTTCCAGTGGAGTTCCATCGGCTCTGATTGGCTGACAATCATTTGGATTGGTTCAGAGCCCTGGAGGAGAGGTGGGACTTTTGGGGATGACTGGCACAAAACCAATTCAGAGTGAAGGTAATTTTAGGGGAATCGGAAGCAAGATGACTTTCCCAACAATTTCAGCACCCCACCCACCACCTATCAAAAAAAGAAAACCAAAGGAAGGATGTGTTTTAGCAGCTATGAGTGCTTTTGCAAAAAGTCCCTCCCCTTCAGTTTAACTTTAGAAATACGCAGTATCTGTCTAATTTCAAAACAGCTCCAGAACTGGAAAGAAACACCACACAGTGTGAGTTGACAGTATTACTGTAGATCCAGTTAATGTGCTACACCAGCATAAGAGCAACCTTGAAGGAAATGACAGACAGAAGAGAGACAGAAGAAATCCAATACTTCATGAGGAGATACTTGAGGGACACCCTAAGATGGCAGATTGATTAGGTAAGATAATGCAGATATAGGGCTGTATCGTATCACACACACACACACAGAGAAAAAAACTTACCTCCACTTAGCAGCTTCATGACCAGCCAAAGCTCATCCTTGACCACAAAAGATGTATAATATGTAACTATGTTGGGATGGCTGCATTGACTCATGGCTTGAATTTCTTTCTACAAGGAATGCAAATACGACATAGATATTCTGGCAAGGGAATAACAGATAGTCTATCAAAGACAGTCAATGATTCAACCTAAGGGAAGTTATACATTTGGATATCATGCCTACCCTGCCCACATCTACAACGGATATAGCTTAAAGAAGAAGAAGAAGAAGAGGAGATTGGATTTATACCCTGCCCTTCACTAACCAAAGGTGTCTCAGAGCGGCTTACAAACTCCTTTCCCTTCCCCTCCCCACAACAGACACCCTGTGAGGTAGGTGGGGCTGAAAGAGCTCTGACAGAAACTGTTCTTTTTCAAGAACAGCTCTTATCAGAGCTACAGCTTGCGCAAGATCATCCATCCAGGTGCAAGTGGAGGAGTGGGGAATCAAACCCGGTTCTCCCAGAGTAGAGTCCGCGCACTTAACCACTACACCAAACTGGCTCAAACTAGTATTTCAGATTTGCATAATACATACATTTATGTACATACACGCCTCTATTCTCAAAAAAGAACGGGTTGAATTCTATTTGAGATTTTTGCACACACAAGGTTGGGAGTGATTTTCATCAAACACCCCCCCCCCCGTGGCAGACTTCTGGTCCCCTCCCCAGCTATCCTAGGGGTCCCCCATCCATCAGGAACAACATTTTTTGAAGCATTTGGGGCTGCAGCATGGTGAGAGGTACGGAAGTGTGCTTCCGTGGATGGAAGTCATAGAATCATAAAGTTGGAAGGGACCTCCAGGGTCATCTAGCCCAACCCAAGCGCAATGCAATACTTGCATCTGTGGAATGGTTGGGCAAGATGCAACCCTCAGTCCTGAAGGTGAGTGGACACTGGAAACTGAAAGCTTCCCCAGTCTGAAGAATAAGCTCACTCTCAAAATTATAAATGAGGGAAAGTCAATGAAGACGTATAAACAGGTTCATGACTGCATCATTTGATGAAAGATTCTAGATGGGCAATAACTTGTAAAATATTCTGCTTTAAAAAGAAAGATATTTAAACACATCTAACACGTGACTATTTTCTGTCTTCCAAATTCAAGTGAAAGATTCTGGAAAAAGGATGATTCTTTTATGCTTCATTTAAGAGACACAAGCTTTTTGTTGTGAAGTAATTTCTGCAGGACTAGCAATGTATCCTAGAAATTATTTATCAGTGTGACTTACAAAAAGAAATTTGTATTTAAGATACATTGTAATAAATTAGGATGGCCTATTTCATATAAAAATGACTTCCAGTTTTGTTTTAGGTTTGAAGATTCAAAGTACCCTCAAGACAATGGCTCAACACACAGAATCTCCATTTTAATACACCTGGATTTTTTCTTACACTCCAGCACTAGATTCTCTCCCCCCCCACCCCTTCCCCTTGCACATCTAAAGGCCCATTTGAAATTCACCCCCACACACACACTAATAGAAATAATATCCTCTGTGAAAGAGAAGGAAGGGAGAATGCCTCTAGAGAGGAAGGCAGCCAAAATATTTACTGAGCAGTGGAGCCAGTTTGCAAGTGGCTTCAGTGTATTTTGTTCAGAGACACGGTTTCATCTCCTGGGTAAAGCTCTGAAAAATAAGCCCTCCTCATATTTACAGCAGAGACTGCCTGTACAGTGTTGATACTTCTTCCTCTCTCCCACCCCCACTTTTTGGGTCCAGATTCCTCTCACCCAAAAATTGTTTTTTTAAAGGTTTTTACTTCTTTAAAATAAGGGGAAAATAGCAATGCAAAACATACACTGGGTAATCCAGTACATGGTAAGAGACCTGTCTGCTGAACCAGCATTTCGTTTGATAGTATCTACTTTTATTTTTCTAATGGCAAAACTGGAAGGAAGCTGGGCTCATTGTGTGGGCAAAAGGACTGACTTTTTAATGTTAAGTCCGCCTTCACTCTAAGATGGTGCTAGCCATCTGCATGAGGGACTTGTTAAAAATAAACCTAAAGAATGACTGCATGACAGAATGACTGCATGACCTCCTTAAAAATCATAATGTTTTCATCAATCAATCAGCTAAACATTGCAGAACTAAATACAGCACTACAACTGGCCAGGGCTTCTCAAACTGTGAGTTGGGACCCAAACGTAGGTTACTGATTCACCTGCAACAGAATTGTGTGGGAGAAAGAGGAGGAACAGGGTGAAATCTGGGAAGCTTATTGGCCAATTTGGATTAACCTCTGCATGAAGTGCAAAGCAGTCATGATGTATAGCCTCTTATACTAGTTTCAGAGGATAGCAGTGTTGGTCTGGAGAGAAACAGCTAGACTGGAGTCCAGTAGCACCTTAGAGACCAACAAGATTTTTGCAGTGTAAGCTTTCGAGAGTCAAAGCTCTGAAGGGGACTTTGACTCTTGAAGGTAAAGGTAAAGGTTTCCCTTGCTTGAAAGCCAGTCGAAGCCAACTCTAGGGATGCGGTGCTCATTTCCGTTTCCAAGCCAAAGAGCCAGTGCTGTCCGAAGACATTTCCGTGGTCATGTGGCCGGCATGACTAAACACGGAACGCTGTTACCTTCCCACCGAAGCAGTACCTATTTATCTATTTGCAATCTCTTCCTTTCGAACTGCTAGGTTGGCAGAAGCTGGGACCAGAGACGGGAGCTCACTCCGTCATGCGGCACTCAGGTCTCGAACTGTGGAACTACTGACCTTCCGGTCTGCAGTTCAGCGTCTTAACCACTTGAGCCACCGCAGCCCTGACTCTTGAAAGTTTATACCAAAAAAACATCTTATTGGTCTCTACGGTTTTGGCTACTAGACTCCAATCTAGCCTGTTATATGTACATACTAAAAATGAAACAATAACATATAAAACTTGCTTGGTATATCAGATGATGTGAAGTTCTTGTGCTTTGTGTTGCGAAGGTGGAAAGGGCCCTTTGAAAACGGGTGGTGAAGAGAACAGGAAGTTTAGAAGTAGGTCCCTCACATCAAAACATTTGAGAGACACCTGAAATAGGTGGAAAGTACCTATGTGGGCAAAGGCCTATGTGAACAGAGCGTTGTGTTCAAGTACTCCCTTCTCTGTGCCCCCGAAGTCAACGAGCTATTTCCACAAATCATAGTTGGCCATTACATCTGAACTGATAATTTATTATTTGCTTCCCCCACTGGACATAGGAATTCCAAGCCAAAATTTAAAGCTAGTTCACAATCCTGACTTGGAATTCGCCAGTTCAGATGTAGTGGCAAAGTACAATCACTAATTGACTCCTGCCACACAAAGGGAAGGAGAAGCATGGGACTCGTTCCTGTGGCACTGAGCCATGTTTTGTCTGTATTATCCTGTACCATTATTCCTACAGTGAAATCTTCCATCATCTTTTCTTAATGACTGAAAGCACTGTGGGCTTTGGGCCCTGCGGCAATTTCCACTGATGAAGACATCTATCCTGCTGCAGCCTGAAATACTCCCAAAATGCTGCTCTGGGGGGAGACAGGGAACTCCCAGGAAGAGCATGAATGTGAGGCGTGTCCCGTGTCTGTCCCAAAACCCTCCGCCATGATTTCAGCTCCTTCAGGGTCATCTTCCTAGGCCTCAGAATGGACACTGGAGCCAAAAACCCACTCTTTCCCCATGTCTGGCTGGTTCCTGTACCAGCAAACCCTTCAGCCACCTTCCCTCCTGGCTTTTTGGGAAGCTTCCCTTTTTATAGGGTGGTTACTCCGCCCCATTTCCCCTCATTATCCAATAGGGCCTGTCCTGCCCCATATCCCTCTTTTCCCTAGCTCCACCCTTCCCCACAATCGCTATCTTGACCTGGGGCACAAGACCCGCCCATCTGCCTCGTCTCTCCCTTCCCCGTACTCATGCCGTTCCCCTTGACTGTGCCTGGGAATATCAGGGTGTCCAGCCCCACTCTTCTCTCTCCAAGCTCCTTCGATCTGCGTTGGCTCACTAAGGTGTGTAAGCCTAGGTGGAGACGGTTAGCGCTTTTCCTGGCTCCCGCTGATCTGGCAACTCGCCCTCGTCAGCCCTCAGGGTTGCACCAAAGCTTAGCGGCACACTACGTAGGGGCTGTTTCCTTCCTTTGGGGGTTGCTTCTGCTGATCTCCCAGGTAAGGGGAGGACGGTCCCATTGGGAGGCTGGGGAGCCGGGCAACCCTGGACAATGAAGGATGAGCTGCCGATCTTAAGTACAGGGTAGGAGATTGGCAAAATCCCCACCCCACCTTCTGTTAGTGGAAATGTACTGCTGCATCCAATGGAGAGTGGTACATGGATCCAGTGTAAACATAATGTCACTTCAAAGAGAAACAAGAATGTTTACACTGCAGCAATAAAAGCTGTCATATTGATTACACCTCTATTTATCAATCCTGCCATGGAGCAGGCATACAAAGGTAATGCCAATTAATTAATTTGGCAAGACACTCAAATGTCAAGGAGAATTCCAAGAGAGACAGGCTCAAATAAAAAACAAGAGTTGATGAAAGAAGTGTAAAGCAGTTATGGTTTCCAATTCATTTATGAGACAGGTAGTACAAAGAAAGGCATTTTTCTAAAATAGGAGGTTACTGGTGCTTATAAGCATATGAAGAGTTTTTTTAAAAAAAAAAAAACACACACAACTCAGGCAGATAAAGGGAGTGGGATTTTGGAAATGACAGTGTATACTGCTCAAAGTTTCTTGGAGGACAGGTGGGATAAAAATATGTAAAAAATAAACAATACGCATATTTTTTCCTACTACACAGGCCTATTTTAGCTCCTATTAATAGTTTTGCATGATTCAAACATGGAAAATGAAATTCTGTATACTTCATTTACTTACCAGCAATTCATCCATACTGGTCTGGCATTTTTCTAAATTGATTCTTTTTATTGCTACACGTTCTTGTCTGGGTTTGCATAGTGCTGCCTGGACAACAGCCGTAGCGCCACTACCTGAGAGACAGAAGAAATGAAAGTGGTCAAAGCGACGTAAGGTTATGGTGCCAAACCAGTGTGGTACATTGATTAAGAGTGTTGGATTAGTATCTGGGAGACCTGGGTTCGAATCCCTACTTGTGCCTCGGAAGCTCACTAGGTGACCTTGGACTGGTCACACTCTCTCAACCTAACCTACCTTACAGGATTGTTGTGCAGATAAAATGGAGAAGAGTAAAATGATGTAACTTGCTTTGGGTCCCCACTGGAGAGAAAGGTGTGGTACAAATGAAATAAATAAATAAACAAACTACATTTCTCAAGGGTTTTCCCAGAGCCCTGCAATGCAAAAAAAATAGCAACAGCAAACAAGCTTCCCTGAAAGACACCTTGCAAGTCACTAGCCTTTTTCCCTTTCAATGCACAGCCAAAAAGTGACAAAGCATTATATGTATACACCATGAGAAATGGGGAAAAGACAAAAAATCTTAAATTCTCCTGATAGTATTGAAACCCCCCCTCTTTGTAAACTGCCCCTGTTAAAAATCACAGATATAGGTGGGCTATGTTGTGCAAAGGAACTTCCTATGTTCGTATATAATTCATGACTGACAGAAGTCCACCATTGGCCACAATTTCACCAGTTGCTGGGATGTCTGCAAATCATGCTGTATGAAATGAACCCAGGACTATTCAACAGAGAGTAGCTACACACTTAATCAATTATGAACTCAACATTTTAAAATGTATGGACATAAGCAATCTTGGTGGACCACAGGAACCATAGGAAGCAAAAAGATGCCACACAAGCCTTAAGTCAAGCCTAGGCCTGCTCTAGGATGCTCCTTTGGTTCAACACAGGCAGTAAGGAGGACACTACAGAACTGAATAGCTCTTTTTGTGGACCAAATTCTCTAGAACTTTCTAGAATGGCTATAATATGCAGGAGTTCCATGGCAGACAAGCTGATGTGGAAAGTGCTCAGAACTTCAGAACCCAATGTTATGGCATATAAATATGCTATGCAGAGAGCAACCTGGATATCAGATACGAATATTACTACTACCGTATACATCTCTGAACACATTTCGACATTAAGCTATTTCCTTTCAAAAAAGATAGTCTGGTGGAATTTCTAGAAATTGGATACTGCCATGTCAGTGCAACACACACACAACACATTTTTAATCTCATTGTTCTTCCTTCTTCACTCCTCTCCAATTAAAAAGAAATGGGGATATCAAAGAATGACATCTAAAACAATATAAAATAGCTCAGTTGAAAAGTTTACATTGAGCAAGCTTATTTTGGTAAACTCTAATCTCTATAATAGTTTGCTAGCCTCGCACTGAACCTTTACTAGGTCAACCAGAGTGAGAGGGTTTGTTTTCAAAGTTACACAATTTCTACCTCCTTGGTTGCATATTCTGAACTAGGGATGTGCACGAACCAGGGAAATGGAAGTTTGTCCTGGATCATAAGGTCACACGAACCACAAACCTTCACGAACCTCCCCATTTACCAAATCAGTTCGGTTTGTGAGGTTCAGTGGGAGATCTATCTTCCCTCCCTCCTTTCTGCTGGGGGTGCCTCCCTGAGGCCAGCAGAATGGGGGGGGGGAATCTCCCTTCTCTAAAAATCTTCACTCCCTCCTTTCTGCTGACAGTGGCTCCTTGAGGCCAGCAGAATGGAAGGGGGAGAAGAGCTTCCCTTTAAATGGCTTTTTCAAACAGGCACTGCGCACGAATGAAGTCCAAGCAGCGAGTTCACCCGCAGGTTGTGAACTCGCTGCTTGGACTTCACTCACGCGCAGCACCCACACGTAAAGCCATTTAAAGGGAACGCTTGGAAGCAGAGGAGTGAAAGGGATCAGTGAAATGGCTTGAATCTCTCTCCCTCTCATTCCTCCCATGAACCTCTGAATACCATGTGGAGGGTCCTGGGAGGGCTATGAAGCGCCCGAACCTCGATTCGTGAACCACAAACCAGCTATCTTCGTCATGAAATTAGGTCTGTCACAAGGTTCGTGCCCATCCGTACTCTGAACTCTATCACCTGTGGCTTCACTGACATCCATGGCTACACATCTGATTTTAAACGCAAGGCCAGCAAGTAAAAGAGTATTTTAGCTTTTCAATCATCCAAGAGGTGACAGGCCGAGGGTTTTTCTGTTTCTTTATCTAAACTGAAGCGCTGATCAGAACATTAATTCCAGTCTCAGAAGTGTGGGTGGTATTTTGAAAATATCTGGTGCCAAAAATCAGAGCCTGTTTGTTAGCAGACCACTATTTCTCCATTTGCCCTGAAAGCAGGGCTCTCTGTACAGAATAAATGGATGCCTTTGAGCTATTAATTCATAAAGGCAGACTGGAATTTCTATTCCCACTTTAAATCCTCAGCCTCCTCTCCGAATAAACCCAACTCTAAACCACAATAAAAGCTCTTCAGTACTCCTACACACAACTGCGTGGTTCTTTCATGGATCAGAATGAAATCTTGGTGTTTTCTGTGAGCCCCCCCCCCTTAAATTTTAAAAACAAACTGAAGTCCTACCAATGCAGTCAGTAACTGTACTTGGGATATATCCCAGCTGGTCTTCTGAAATACTAGGCGTTCAATCTGTCCTTGAAACTGGCATGCCCCAGTCCCAATACAGCTAGCACACACACACACACAAAGGCCTTTTGTTACAAAGCTTTACAATGGGAATTCAGTTACATGCCTAATCCTGAACAAAAGGCCGCTCTTCCCTCCCATCTGACAACAGAACTGACACAATACCCCATGACTGGAAGTGATTGTCTGCATTTTAATTGATGTTTGCTTACTTATTTAGAAGTAGGGTGTTTTGTATGCAATTTTCGTCCTGCAGTACTTTAAGGACAAAGCTTTTAGTTCAATTATATATTGCCATGATCATACAGACAACCCCCCCACAGCACAACATAGCAACAAGTGCTTTGACACACTCCAATTATGCTGTACAATTTTGCCCCCCATAATCTTTAGTTAAAGAATTCTATGTCAGAAACACAGTCCATCAAGCCTTTCTGGGCAGCAATGGTGGCATACTAAAACAAACTTCACTACAAAGCTCCCAAAGATTATTTCCATCCCAGTTGTAGCCTAAACTCCTTGACAGGTTCACGGATCAGTAACACATGCCAACATAAATGCATTTGGGATCTCAAACCAAAGGCCTCTCAAAGCCCTTAATGGGAAAGATTTTCAATTTCTGTATGTGTACCCAACACCTCATTTAGAAACAAGGATAGCCCAGTTGGCAGCACATAACTACATCAAGTACAGAAGGCCACAGACTTCATAAAGGGGCAAATTTAAGTACCTTTTGTTTTCTGACATAGTAACAGTAGAGGTTCTGGCACCTTCCCCTTACTATTATGCACCTAAGTCACTGTCCTTGCAGTCAGGTAAGTGGGGCTCCACACCAGACTCAAAACAGAAAACTCTATGGTTGTTGCTGATCCTTTTCAGCTTGTCAACTTCCACATCATCCTGCTGCTCTCTCTCGTTCAATCTCCAGGAAGGAATGCTCATTCTTTCCTTCCCCAGTCTGGCTCTTTTATGCGCCTCACAGCTGCCATTCAGCTCCGCTAATGAGGAAATCAGCAGGCACTTTTCCGTGAGAGAGCCAGCGTGATGTCATGGTTAAGAGCGCTGGACTCTAATCTGGAGAACAGGGTTTGATTCCCCACTCCTTCTTCACATGGAGCCTGTTGGGTGACTTTGGGCCAGTTACACTTCTCTCAGAACTCTCTCCGCCCCACCCACCTCACAAGGTGCTTGTTGTGGGGATAGGAAGGGAGGGTGACTGGAAGCCACTTTTAAGTCTCCTTGAGGTAGAAAAAAGTGGGGTCCAAAAACCTTCTCTCCTCCTCCATGAATTTTAGTAGCCCCTCTTTCTTACCCTCCAGCCATCCCTTGAGGGCCAACTGGATGAAAATCACGTTCACAGGGCTGAATTCCCCATTTTGAAAAAAATTTAAGCCATGTGGAATATCTGCTCCTGACACAACAGAATTGGAACTGTGTTTCACATACTCTGATCTAACGGATAATCATGTCAGAATATGGATGGTGGATACATATTCCAATAAACATCCCAGTGAAAACAACCAACAGTATTAAACTAGACCTTGGAATAGGTTTTTAAAACATCTAAATTAGGTCCATGTGTTTTCTTGCCAAGAGTGGGGTAATAATACAGCAGAGTGATAAATTGATGAGGGCTGACAACTATTTCACTTGCTCAGTAGCTGTGCATTCTTAGCAGCTTGATATTGCTAGATAGTGAAGGTCCAGCTCTGTGTATAGGCAACATAACAGAAGCACTGCAGCTTGGGGGGGGGGGGGGAGCTTAAATGGATTTAAATGCATTGATGCACATGAATGCACAACTAAGAACACAAAACTGCATGTAAATTGCTTTCATTGACTTACAGGCATATCTGAGAGAGGGGGAAATGCACTGAGTCTGTACCTCCAAGATTTACATTTGATTAAAGAAAAACACCAACCTGGATAACAGTAATAGTAGTGATAAGGCAAAATTCTTATTAAGTTAAATTTCAGGAGAACTTCTCACACAGAATATCAAGCCATTAACTCTTTCGTTCTGAATGAACACAGAGATTTTATAAATACCTGAACAGTGCAAGTTTTAATATCAAAATACTACTGAGGCAGAACTGTTGGTTGGATCCAGTGAGCCATCAAAAGGGGGGGGGGGGGGGGGGGGAAGAGGACACAATATTGCTCCCTTCTTCCTCCTGACTGGAGCCCACAAAAGGATTAGGGGAGGGAGGCAAAATCTATGATTCATGAACAAGCAGATTGCTGGATCCAGGCCGTCTAGTCTACTGCTTTTGTTTTGTTTTAAAATCAGCATGTGCAGTAGAGGTGAATCAATTAGGGAATTTGCTCAAACAAACAAAATTCAAATCCCCCAGACCACATAGATTTGTTTCTGAATTCTATAAAACTTTTGCTTAAGTTCT